GCTTCAGGACAGGGATGGGACACAGGGAGAAAGGGCTATGGACATAGGCATGTGTTCACTCTTGATGTGAAATTCTTAAATGTGCTTTTTAAACTGTTCTTCTTGTAATACTGTTCATTGTACTTTAAATACCAGAACTTTTCTTAACTGTTATTAACCTTCATTAGGATAAGAGGTGAATTCAGGATGCTGTACAAACACTCATTAAAGTGTTTACCCTACCTGGCCAATCGTGCAGCTCAATAAGATAAATGGTACAAAAACAGTGCAAGTCCATGCTGATTAACCTGACCACAGAGAGTGATTTCATTATAAGTGTCTTGAGGAAGAGGTGTCTTAAATAGAGATTCGTTATGATTCAGAATGTCATTTTTATTTCTGATGGTATTTAATAAATACGTGCATTAAGTCTCCTTTGAGTCAGTAAGACCTTATGCTCAAGGTAAATTCCTTTCTGAATTAGATGGGGCTGCAGATAGTTTTGTAACTGAAATGCAAGACTGATTTTAGTGACATGAAAAGGGGGGAAAGTATCTGCTTTCCTGTTTAATGCACCACAAACAGAGAGAAACAGCATGCACTGTGAGAATGAGAACAAAAAGCTGGTATTTCATGGGCTGAAGTAGTTAGACTCAACAGGAAAGATCTTAGTAAATGAGAATGGCTTATGTTGACCTTAACTGAGGTGGTCACCGTCTAGGAAGTTCTCAGTCACATGGTAGCCAATGGAAAATAAGAGTTGCCCTAGCCTCATTCATTGTTAAAGTGTTTAGGAACCCTAATTAGATTAATTAGTGTTCACTGCATATTGCACATCTGTATTTTTCATTTCCTAGACTCAATATGGATGGATAATATATGGAATTAGAGTACAGTTAAATTATATTAATGATTATGCATAGCAAAAGTAAACTGAAATGGAAAGCCTCATTGAGATAGCTAAAACTAGTTACTATGAAAACTATTTCATGTCTGTTCTGAGTACAGTATCGAGTACATCCCAAAACATTTTAAATTTGTTAGACTTTGGTTACCATTGGTTCACGAAGAAGGTGAAAGATGTACAATGGGAAGTAATCTCTTAATAACCTGGCTAATTCTCTCAGTCAGAAAGTAGCTATATGACACAAAAGTGGCAAAGGGCAAGGTTGAATTAATTGCAGTAAATCATTGCAGGATTTCACTTGTAGAAGCACTGGGGCAAAATTTACTGCCCCCAGAAGTCTTAAAATGGGGTGGGTTTGGCACTGACTGCAGAACAAGACTTGGATTGGAGAACAAAGCACGTAAATCTTGCTTGCATGTGTGTTGTTTTTTTTTTTTTTTAAAAAAAAAAAAATACATGCTGTTTGATCTCGACCAAGACTTAAAGGCAAGGCTGGATATTTCAAAGCCAGGCTGGATGTGGCTCTGGGCAGCCTGGTCTAGTGGTTGGCAATCCTGCCCACAGCAGGGGGGTTGAAACTGGATGATCCTTGAGGTCCTTTTCATCCCAGGCATTCTCTGATGCTTTGTTTTGAATATATTTGGCCTCTGTCATTTGCTAAGGGAAGAATCGTGTCTCACCTGAAGGTTTATGTCTTCTGTATTTGAAGCAAATGGTAAAAGTGGCCAATTAGAAGTATCCGAGCATAACGTTTGCAGTGAGAGAAGACAGAAATAGAAGGTTTGGTCTGATTTCCAAACCTAACCTTCAGATGCTGTATCACAGTGATCGCTCTTAATTATGAGAATTTGGTTTCATTGCCATGCAGAAAGCGAAGCTGCATGAGTCATAGACAGAACAGTTTGCTTTTAATAAAGTGGATACGGTAATAAAAAAAAATCAGTTTGACTCCAAAACCATCTACTTGTCTAGACAGATAGTGCCAAGCCCGTGTCTGCTGAGAAATATCTTCCTAATACTTCTGTAATAATGCTACTACTTTTACAGTACTTCCCATTTTTCAAAGTGCTGTACCCAGTTAATTCACTGTTGGCTGTGCTCGAGACAGCCCTTTGCGGAGTTTGATAGCATTTTTGTGTCTTGCTCTTCTGTAATGTGCTATTTTGAATGCCATGGCCAATCAATTAGGGAATCACAAGAATGTTTTGGGCAGCACTTCCCAGGATTGGTCAATAATTCTTGTCCCAGCTCTTCCAGGGTTGCCTATTCATCCTTTCCTGGCAGAGGCCCTGTGACTCCCTATTCCCCTCCTCTATAAAAAGCCCTTGTTGTGGCCAAATAGCCTTCATAGGCCTGTTTTCCTTATGGCTGCTCTCTCAGACTGGTACCCAAAGGGAAAGTGGATTTGCACCTTTCTCCACCTGTAATTTGACTGTTTTGTGTCAGAAGCCCTCTTTGCCTTTATTCTTTCCTGGCTTTTCATTCCAGAATCTCTTCCTTCCCTCCTCTTGTGGGGCTTTCCCAAGAAGGTTGCCTGTGTCCACTGAAGGGGAGAAAATGAAAAAAAATTGAGTAGAAAAGGGAGGAGAAGGCAGAGCTTCCCACATGTCTTAGCAATTTCCTCAGCTTAGCATCAGTCTCCTGGGTGGCTCTGTTGCTCGTATCTGAAGGAAGGCTGCAAAGAGGTTAGAGATGGACTCTTTTCAGTCATTCCTAGTGCCAGGACAAGAGGCCATGGCCACAACTTGGAACACATGTCATTCCCTCTGAACACCAGGCAGCACATCAATGCTGTGCAGGTGACGGAGCACTGGCATAGGCTGTCCAGAGGATGTGGGATCTTCTCCTTGGAGATCTTTGTAAGCCACCTTGCTGTGGGTCTGGGCACCCTGCTGTGTGTTGGCCTGCTGCAGTGGGACTAGGCCAGAAGGACCCAGAGGGTCCTGCCCGCCTCAGCCACTCTGTGAGTTTGTGATATGGTACACGGAGAGAATTACATTGTTTTGGAGGAGATGATGATAAAATTTCTCTTGTTAAGGCAATGGTGCAGTGTTAATAGCAGGAGGGAGAAGAGTGTTGAATGGGGCTGGAAACTGGTGAACAGATTATGGAAGAAAAAAGAGGATGACCTGGCAGTAGCAGGCTGGGAGGTTTCTGTAGTCGCTGAACTGGAGAGAAGCTGGTCCCTGACTAAGTGGCATGTATGGAGTTCATGTCTAGAGAAGTAGGACATGAAGAGTTAAAAGTCTGTATCCTGGGGGCAAGCAATGCAAGTTGCAAAGCATGATATCCCTTATCCCTCTCAAATTTGTACTGTTTTTAAATAAGTGAAACGTAGGAGTTTAAGAACAAGCAGGGGGCAGGCCAGCCCTTCTCCATGGTGCGCAGCAGGGTTGTGTGTCTGCTGCCAGAGGAAGACTGCCTTGGGCTGAATCAAGCCTAGCATATTTACTTAATCTGAGTCTGAAGCTTGACCTCCAGAAACACAGGAAAACAGCAAAAATGAAGCTATTGTCAACATTGCAGGGCAGGAGGTCAGTCTTGTCTGGCACTGCTCAGGCTCATCATCTGAGCTCCTTTCATCTAAATAGACACTGCTAACATTCCAGTGAAGCATGGGGATTATTCACGTTTCCCACCTATGTGGACGAAGTATGCGTTACAGCTTGCTAAAAATCACTGGAAGAAGGTTTTAAAATAATACTTAAAAACTGCTGATTCATCAGACATTAACTTTCCATGGAGCTCTGTCTGACAGGAGTTGAGCCACGCTGGCCAACTAACCCACTTCAGCATTAGAAAATAACATTCAGAAAGGGAACAAACAACACTCAGCAAGACTGTGAGAGCTATGAGCATTGAAAGTCAGGCCCATATCAGCAATGCAGAGGTACCAGCTACTTAATATCCACTGCAAAGATTTCCTGCCTGAAAAAAAGAGCTTATTAATATCGCTCAATGTTTTGAGGTTAAATCAATGTGCTTAAAGCTTTTAGGTCCTCAGATTAAAGATGCTATTAGATATGCAATGTATCCATAAAAGGGAGCTCAGCATGCTATTTCTGGGGGGCATATCCCTTCTCAAAGGCAACAGATATGTCCCCAAAGCACTGTGACCCTGCGTAAGAGTAGTCCCCCAGCTCACTCTTCAGACTCTTATTTGATTCAAACTCCATCCTTTTCTCACTTTTTCCTCAAACCAAACCTTGTTAACTCTGCTGTATATCTCAGCTGTTGGGTATACTCCCTTGTAAGTCATGATGACTTCCAATGCTCCCGTTGAAGAATATACAAGTTGTTTTATTTAAGCTGCATGACTAGAGCTACGCCCTCTCTTAGCTGATGGTATGCATTTTCCTTCTGAAGCCTTGCGCCTGGTGCAGCACTCCAGATCTGCTAAGTAGCAGATCTGCATTAGGTACAGAGCAACGTGGTTCTGCAGATCTGAGCTACGCAACATCCGCTGCTGAATGTCAAAACCTCTTTCCTTGCTGAAATCCCATGGAGATGTTGCTAATTAAAGGATATTTCTTCCCTCAGTCCTGATTCATAGCAGAGGCCTAAATACAGTTTGGGTCTTAGCATTTAGGGGTGCTCTCAAAATAAAGTTTGAAAAAGGAAAAAGCCTTTATCCATGTGTTCTAGCAGCGTGAGGGTGCTGGGCTGTGCTTCTCCCAGAGGCAGCCAGGACTGCAAAATTCCAAAGTCATTTTCAGTTTTACATTACCCTTTTTTGGGTCAGCAGCCAATGTGTGCTTGGAGCTGCATTTATTTATTTCTGTTTTGGTGATAATGCTGAGTGAAATAGGGGCCACATTTTAAAAGCCTGTGGTTCATCATTGGAAATTAAAAAGCTGATATCACCCCCCCCCCCTCCCTCCCCCCCCCCCAGTAAGAATCTCGCGGGTAAATCAAAGCCAGACTTTGTCAGCACCCAGCTTGCTGGTTTCGAATTCCCAGGCACTCTCCTTATCCGCTCGGGCTGGTTGCAACCGCAGCAGCCAAACTCGCCTACGGAGCAGAATTCGCTTCGCTAAACCACGAACTGCGCAGTTGCTCGGACGCAGGTGGGGATCCCGGTGCCCGGCTGTGACCCTCCCTTGCTGCTGGAGAGCGGCACCCCGCGCTCCCACTCGCAGCCAGCAGCCAGCTTTTACCGCTTTCCGCGGCGTGGACTTTTTTTCTTTTTTTTTTTTTCTTTTTTTTTTTTTTCTTTTTTTTTGGTGCCTTTTTCCCTCCCTCTCTCCGGAGCAGCCTGCACAGACAGCCCTGATTTGCTGCGGAGCGGCGGAGACTCGCTCAGGGCAGAGCCGGGCTGAGCTGCCGCTCGCTGCTGACGCGTGGCCGCCGCCGGGAGCAGCCCCAGCCCGCTGCTGCTGCTGCCGCCCCCAGGTACCGTCCCGGCCCCGCTACGCGCTGTGCCCTCCGCCAAGGGGAAGCGGAGGGTATGCCCTAGAGAGGGTTTTACAGATTGCACCCTTTTTTTTTTTTTTTTTTTTTTTTTAATATATACCCTTTTATATAGACATTTGCAGAGCTCGTTCCTAGGAGCCATTTTTGAAGTCAGCAACCACGGAGGCCCCGGGGGTGCCCTCGCGCCGGGCGGGGAGGGGCGGGAGGCTGTTCGGAGCGGGGAAGCGCGGTGGTGCGAGGGGGGCTGCTAGGGGGCCGTGCGTCCCGTTTTATTGATTTATTATTTTTATTTTACAGCGATTGCCATTTTTATAGCAAACTTCACCACTCACCCGCACATCTCCTTCCCCACCCGGCCTTGCGTTGGCGAGGGGGGACTGTTTCCCTCCCTAACCCCCCCCCCCCACGGGCCGTGGCTTCTGCAATGCGGTGGGTGTGGTTATTGCACGGAGCACGGCGCGGCTCCGGACCGCTGCAGTGCCAGCGCCGCCACCCCCGCCCCCCACCCTCAGCCCCCTCCCGGCTGGCAGCCGCGGGCCTCCCTCAGGGGTTGGCTGCGCCCAGCGGAGCCGCTTCTTGCGGGGACATCGCGCGTAGAGCTCGAGGTGGGCTCCCAGGTGTGCGGCGGGGCAGCGGCGGTGCCCGCGCAGGGCTTCGGGGGGAGGAAAGGAAAACAGCCGAAGGTGCGCCCGTCGGGATGCTTGGTATCACTGATGTGATAATTTTCCCGTTGCGGATGGGTTTGGCTTTGAAGACCCAGACTGGGCATGGAGAGGGGTGCTCTCTCCTTAGGGTTTCTTGGTTTTCATTCGAAGAGCTGAAACTTTACCAGGTACTGAGACGCGCCAGAAAACTCCTGCCTCATCATCGTTACAAGTAGCAAAGTGTATCCAACGTAGCTTTGCAGTTTTCCGATTTTTGTTTTGGCTCTGTTGGTACAGGAGGTCACTCAGGATGATGCTCAGATGTTTGAGCACTGCTTTGCAGTGTGTGGTTGTATTTGAGGTGGTGTAATTACTGCTTGGTCAACTGGATACTTACTGCAGCAAACCTGCTTTAGCAGGAATTTAAACTGGATGATCTCCAGGGGTCCCTTCCAGCTTCTATGATTTTGTGATTCTCTGATTTGCTGAGCTCCGTGTGAATGTCAGTTGTAAGTTGAAGGGAAAGTGCCTACTTTTTTCATCTGAAGTCTTCGCAGTCAAAATAACTGCAAGTCACGGGGCTGCTTTCCAAACATGAGGTGTGCCCTGTGTACATCTGTGATTCTACAGTGTGGCAGTCTGAATACCACCTCATTCCTTTAGCTTTTAATAATTTCAGCATTTTCTATGTCAATAGAAAGCTAAAAGATTTGTGTATGTGTATGTGTAATATATTATGTATATAAATGTGAATATAACTAAGTCTCAAAGCAATTAAACAAAATATATGCTTGACCACTAAACATTGGTCAGATTTGATCAGGCTTACATTTAACCTCTAAAACTCTGGCAATGAGTCCTTTGTGGTGTAGGAGAGGTGAGGACCACCCTGCTGCATCAGGATGTGATGACATCCCCTGTCCTGCCGCACCTCTTTATGCACTCCTATGCACAGATGGATGAACTCTGCTCTTTCTGGGCTGGAAACTTTCAGCTCCTGTGCTGGGATGAGCTCTGCATGGCAATACGGGAGAGGAGAGCCCAAACACTGCACTGGGGTGAAAGCCATGGGACTGCTGGTACTGGATCAGAAAGGCTCCCAGAGCCTTCAGCATGCCACAGACCTGCTCGCTGCAGAGGAAAATCATCATCCCCAGTGAATTGGCTGGCATTAAGCATCCATTGCCTTTGTGTCATCTGATGGGAGCCTGCTTCTGCGGTGGGCAGGTTCAGCCTCTGGGAGGAGGAGGAGGAGGAGGAGGGCTGGGGGCAGCAGGGTGGGGCAGGGCTGTGCCTCTCTTCTGAGGAACTGCAGCAGAGCTGAAGGACTCTAATTTTAGTTTGGGTTTTCTTCTCTCTTCTAAGAAGGAGCAAGTGAAGGTGAAGCTGCAACTTACGTAATTTGTGAATTAAACTGGGTGAGGTCTTTTTCTGTCTGTAGGGGAAACCTTTGATGGCAAAAAGCTGTTGTTTGCAGGGCTTTATTTGAAGGCAGTGGGTTTCTTATATAGGTAATGTGAGCTCGGGCTTTGGGTTTGAGCAGCATGCTATCACCTATGTTTTGTTATCTCTGTTGTCTGGTGCAGTGAGTAAGAGTTCTTTGGGGCATGGTGGGTTCCTCAAACCTTTCAAATGTCACTTGGGTGTATTTCGGGTGTGATGTGAAGTTCACAGTAACTTGTTGAAATGTGTTAAACGTGTTATGTGCAGCGGGCGGCATTCAGGCTTGCTGCATGGAAATCTCACATAGCAGTAAATGGCTGGGTGTTGTCTCAGAGAAGGCACCAAACCATTTAGGAGTGCTTATAAAAGATTATTTGGGGCTCATGAAATGAAGCATCCACCTCATCTCTTGAGCTCCAGCATTTTCAATGTGAAAGCCTTGATAACTGTTTCCCTCAGTGAAGTGCCCCCGGTGTGGCTGGGGACTCCCGTTGTGCCTGAGTGTCCGACGTGTCATATAGCTAACTGGAGGCAGGATTGCAGAGTCTGAATGCTCAGAGTGTTTTGTTCAGAGTTAATCTCTCTCTGATCAAGTGAAAATAAGCGTGCCTATGTAAGTGAAAAATAAGATCGCTGTCTGATAAACTGAAAATATGTTTATTACGATGGATTGTTTTTATTTGGTGCAAAAATTAGAGAGGGATTATCTCAGTTCTGTAGGGCAGTTCTCTTAATTTTTAATCTCCAGTATTTGCCATTTCTTGCAATGGGGTAGTGGTCCAGGACTACATGTGGATACATAGCCCTTACTCTTCCCTTTGCTGGTTGGAAACACCCAAAGAGAAATGCATCTTTTCTTTGTGAAGGTCTCTGGCCAGTGAACTGAACAGCACCAGCAGCAGAGAGGAGGAGCATAACCACTTGTGTTGGCTTTGGGAAGAGAAATCCCACAGGCTCTCTGCTCTTGTCCCACCCTTACCCAAAGCTGTCACTGCAAGCAGCAGTGCGGAGGGAACTCAGGAGGGTTGCTGGGAACTGGATACGTGTATAAAAGCTGAAATGGGTTAGGATTTGGGACAACTGAGTTAATGCGAGACAATGTGCCGTGTAGACAGCAAGCTCAGTGTCTCCTGCACCCTTTCCTGAATAATTGGTGTAATACAGTTTGAATAATGTTCAGCTTTTTGGCTCTGGGGGAAAATGACAGCTTTACTTTTTGTGTGATTTAATTTGACAATGTTAGCAGAGCTGTTTGTTTTTCAAGTAAAATGGATAAAAGCTAAAAAGAAATTGTTAGTCTCCTAAATCACTTATGGATCTAGTTCTATCCTACAGGACGCAGCATATGAATAGGCCATACATAAATAAAGGCTTTAAAGGTGCATACCAATTAAAAAGAGGAGGAAAACCCTTTTTTACGTGGATCCCTTCCATTTTTACTCTTTTCTTTACAGACCTTGGAAGTACTTTTTTGTGTCACAGACAGAGAACCCTTTCAGCTGCTGTGCTACCTATCAGAACCCATCTGTTGGCAAGCCAAGGAACAAAGGCAGCACTGAAATGTGTGTGAGGATCCCCTTCCAGATGTGGGATCCTGCTGAGGAAAGCCTTTAGCTTAGAGGGTTAAAGAAGAATGTGGAAGACGGGAGACTGGGAGCGTTTGCGGGGCAAAGAGTGAGAGAAATTGAAAGCATCTGTGGATAGAAAGAAACAAAAATTGGAGTAGGGAGAGTGTAAAGAGAAGAGTTACTGAGATGCAGTGTTGGATACATGCGGGTGCATCTGTTTGTATGCAGCGTGTGTTCTCTGATGAATGTGGTGGAAGTAGCAAATCATCACAGTGCCTTAATGGGCTAAAGGGGAGAATGCACATCCCCCCCCAGCCCCACTCCCCAGCATGGCTCCTGCCTCCCCTCTCTTCCCACTTTCCTCTCCTATGGCTGCTCTCACCACAGTGAGAGTGCCCCTTTCTTTGGGTCCCCGTGGCAATGCTGGTGGCAGCCAAGCTGCATCCCTGGTGGAAGTCACCTTGTTTACTCATCAGTCTGAGGGCAATTATGTCTTAACGCCTCCTGGTTTCCTAGGACATATCAGCTGCAAATAAAATCTCATTTAGTAAGCCAGTAAATGCAAACAGGCTGTGGAAAAAAAGATGTTTCTCCAGACCTAGGAAACATATGTTTATGCTAGCTGAGAGAGCTGTTCTTGTATCCTGACTTGCACAGGGTAATGTCTTTGTGCATCTTCCCTTGATAATTGGTAACCTTGCCTACGAAATGAGGCTTGATCCGGTGTAGACATTGTGCATTGTGACCTGACCCCACAAACTGTAGCTGAGATCAGGAAGCTATAATCTTTTGGAGGACCCTGGAGATGATTACTTCACTGCATCTGTTGAATTCATCTCTGTTTTTTCTCCATTGAGTTACAGTTGTTGCAGAGCAGCGTTTTGGGCATGCAGTGCTCAGCCCTTGTGCTGTGTGGGTGCTATGGGCATCTGTGCAAGTAACTGAATATGTGCATCTGGGCAGACAAAACCATTGCCATATGGAAGTTCTTGCATCAAGTAACGTGGTACCTCTGTTTTTTTCCTAGTAGTTGATGTTAACCTTATGGCATTAGCAAATACAAGGTTTGGCTTGAAGAACACAAAAATGTAATCTTAACAATAATAATAATAATTTTAAAAAAGTGATGTATTTTCTGTTTTCCTGGATAGTTTTGGTAGCTCAGGCACTGGTTGTACAGATTAAGTGGTTTCTGTGGGGAATTTGGCAGCTGCGTTGGTCAGAGGGGCACAGGGATGAGATGTCTGGGAGGAAGACAGGGTGGTGGCTTTGCCTATGGTCAGCCCAAATGAGGAGTAAAACATGGGTTTCAGCCCCACTTTAG